CCAGACAGCTGCGATTGCACACGCTCCCTTCCTTTTCCCCAGACAGCAAGCGGTTGCACACGCTCCCTTCCTTTCCCCAGACAGCTGCGATTGCACACGCTCCCTTCCTTTTCCCCAGACAGCTGCGATTGCACACGCTCCCTTCCTTTTCCCCAGACAGCTGCGATTGCACACGCTCCCTTACTTTTCCCCAGACAGCTGCGGTTGCACACGCTCCCTTCCTTTTCCCCAGACAGCTGCGATTGCACACGCTCCCTTCCTTTTCCCCAGACAGCTGCTGTTGCACACGCTCCCTTCCTTTTCCCCAGTTATTGCACACGCTCCCTTCCTTTTCCCCAGACAGCTGCGATTGCACACGCTCCCTTCCTTTCCCCAGACAGCTGCGATTGCACACGCTCCCTTTATTTTTTGCAGAACTGACCTTTCCCCCCACTCCTCTCTTTTCACAGGTAAAATGTGGATTCAGTGAGCGCTCATCGAAGCCTCACAAGAATGTGACCACTCGGCTCGCCGCCTGCCCCCACTTTTACTTTTTACTTTTCTTTCTTCCTTCCCGATGCCCCCTCTTTCCGCTTTAAACTTGGACATCCTCGAAGCTCTCTCTGGAGAAAGCACAGGCCACAGATCCTACTGTCACTGTGTTTCTTTTCCGAGTGCTTCCTCAGCCCCGGCCAGCTCAGCCTCTGAATGCCCTGAGCTCTGCCGCAGACGCTCTGGGCTGACGCAGGTCCTCGTCACCCTAAACCCGGGGCCAGCACTCCCCGCACAGTAAACAGTGGCAGTGTGGAGGGACACTTTAAAAGGTGGACCTGATGTTTTAAAAGATAATTTAAAATAACTGTATAAATTCGCAAAGATCAAGAAAATCCCTGGTTGCTTTTAGTTTTACCTGAAAATGTGCCTTGGCTTTGGCGGCTCTTTCTCACTGTTCAAGGCCGCCTTGAGATTGGGAGGTAATTCCCTCGGTAAGAGCTGATTTCCAGGACCACCTGCCTTCGCGTGCTCAACAATTTCCTGCCTCAGCTTCCAAAAGCGCCTGATCTCCTCCTCGCTGGGCCAGTGCTCTGAGGAGTCAGCGGACTTCCTGAGATCACTCAGGTTGGGCTTTTCCACGGGCGGGAGAAAGCCAGCTTTCTCTTTCATCACGGCCTGCTCTGGGTCCCCAGCATTCGCAGCTCCTTCGTTAGATGCGTAGTCTGCAGACAACTCCAGTCCCAGGCTCGGGAGGTTGTGGAGGGTCATCTCTTTAGCTGGCGCAGCCCCTGGTAGAGTAAGACACTGCTTTAGGAGCCACCAACACCTTCCCTCTCTGACTCACTCAACAAGCCAGTGCCGGCGTCCTCTGGGAAGACCGCCTAGGTGATGGGGGTGGGGTGCCCAGATCCCCCGTGGCCCTCACGCTCCCTGTCAGTCCAACCAGGGTTCACCCCATCTGCACCATGCCAGGCTGCAATGGCAAGCAAAGCAGTTCCACGAGGAGGGAACGGAAACAGCATTGCCAGATTGCGCCTGGCCCTCCGACACAGGCCCCACCTGACCCTCCCACACGGGCCTTACCACGAGAGGAACTTTTTGCAAGTGTACACAGGCCAATCTTGCCACATTTAATCGACATTTCTGCTTCCCCTCAGATCACTTAGCATCTTTATTTCTAACTCATGTTTAGCCCATTATGCCTGCTTGTTTCTTCTTTGGTGATGCTTTTGATGACTTTCGCAAAACATAGCTTCAGGGAGAAGCCCAGGCACTTGGGGAGCCACTGGGGCCTACCGGCCAGCTCCCGGCACGTACGTGCCCAGCACGACTGGAATGTAGCAGGAGCGGCACGGATAAAACCCGTCGAACGCCGAACTGAGAAAGGAAACAGCTTTTTATTCAGCTTGGAGCTGCGGCGGATAACGCCTTAACGACCAAGCTCACCGAAAAGCAGCTTCTCTCCCTTTTATAGGCTTGTAACTCTAAAGGGGAAACTGAGGCGAAACTGTGTCACCGTCTATTGGCTGGACAATTGACCTCACGATCTTTGACTTCACTGATTTGCTAGTTCCCATGTGGCAGGAGTGGGAATAGGCGGGGGAGGGGCTCACAGAGACAAAACAAAGGCAGTAAATCATTAGTTGGCAGAGGTATTTCCAGGAGTGGGTCTGGGTTGTGCAAATATGGAGGAGGTGACCCAGTGCCGGGCTCCGGCTGGTAGTGATAACATTCTTTGCAACATTCTCAAGGCTTATAGATAGCAGAGATGCTGGGAACCTAAAAGGGAGTCATCTTCCCAGCCCCTGGGCCTCATCACGGCCTGGTCAGTGGCGTCAGCAAGTCACGTGACCACGGATTCCAGCTCTTTGGTATTTTTTCTCTTTACCCTCCTTCTTATCTGGAGGGAGGAGGTGGAGTCCTGCAAGGAGGGAGATGTGGAGGGGGTCTCCCCTCTCAGAAGGCTGAGTGAGATCCCAGGTGGGCGCTGCAGTAGACACAGTCTCGTGGACGTCACGCCCCTGGCTGCCACAGGTTCCTGACTGCTACGTGCTCAGGGTCTTAGGTTTGAAAGGAAAAGTTCTAAAAAATGGGGAAACATGCTTCAAAACGTCCTATGAAGTTGTAAAATTCCCCCTGGGGTACTAGTGACTAGAACCATGTATATTTGACCAATCTGCATATGGATAATTGACTTAGGGCCAGTGACAAAACTGAAATTCATGAAAATGTAAGCAAACAGGAAGAATGGGATACCAGAAAAAATACCTTTTTTTTTTTGGAACAGAGTCTCACTGTCACCCAGGCTGGAGTGCAGTGGCACGATTTCGGCTCACTGCAACTTCCGACTCCCAGGTTCAAGTGATTCTTCTGCCTCAGCCTCCTGAGTAGCTCGGACTACAGGCATGGGCCACCATGCCCGGCTAATTTTTTGTGTTTTCAGTAGAGACAGGGTTTCACTGTGTTAGCCAGGATGGTCTCAATCTCCTGACCTAGTGATCCACCTGCCTTGGCCTCCAAAAGTGCTGGGATACAGGTGTGAGCCACCGCGCCCGGCCCAGTATTTTCTAAAGTTAATTCAAAGGGCAAAGTGCTAAAAATGTACATTATAGAAACTAATCAAAAAAAGAGTCAGTCAGTATTTATTTTTGACCAGTTACTTAATAACATTTTTAACTTTTATTTTGAAATGATTTCAAACTTATAGAAAAGTTGTAACAGCAGTGCTGAGCAGTTGGTGGGCCCTGCACCCCATCTGCAGCTGCTGCTGCTGGGGCTGGGCCTGCGAGCCCACCTGCCCCCGCCTCTCCGGGGCGCAGTTACCAGGATGTCCGGGCAACTTCAGACATCCTGCCCCTCCACCCTCAGACGGAGACACTCACACATCACCACAGCGATTCACCAAAACCAGGAGCGTCCCATTGCTGACCTCTGTCGACACTGGCTAGCCTTCCTCACACCTGGATAACTGCTCCAATGGTGTCCTTTATCCTATTTTTCCTGGCCCAGGATCCAATGCAGGATGAAGCCATCACATCCATTTTCCTATTCCTTTAGTCTCCTTCCATCGGAATGAACCCTCAACGTCTCCCCTTTTTTATTCTGGTCCTCCACTGGGGTCTGTCCATGTCTCCTGAGCTCCCTGCATGCCGGCTCCACTGTGCCTGACAGTTGTGCCCCTCCGTCCCTGTCTCAGCCATCTCCAGGTCCCAGTCCTGTCTCTCCTCAGCCACTCCATGGCCTCCGCTACCTGCCTCCAGCTCCTGCGAGGTGCCCAGTGCCCACTTTCCTCTTCCTGTTCGTATCATGACGTCCTGGCAGTGTCAGGGTCAAGGGTGCCCCAGAGCTGGGCAGCTTCAGAGCGACGCACCAATGGAGGCTGCCACGACCTGGTTAAAATATGTCTACAAACTCAGCAAGCACAGGGCCAACTGCTGATCCCTAATCATTTAAAACAATTTCCAAATAGAGGCCACCTGGGTCAAAGTGCGAGATCAAGTGTTATTTACAAAGACCTAATTATTTACACATTTCAATTACAGCACATGTATAATTATCTTGGCTAATTGTTCCAAACATATGCATTTTTCTTAAGTATCAAAGTATATCACAAATAGTAAAAGTTTAAATATTCTGAAAATATTTCAGAATATTTCACTTTTTTGTCGAGCTTTCATTACGGTTCTCCTTTACCTCAATTTTACTTTACTTTTTCCAAGTGTAAGTACAGTGCCTACTCACGACCAGAACACATTGTGAGCACCTGAAAACACCTGGCTGGTCAGTATGTTGAAAGAACAGAGCAGGTTAGTGAGCACCTACCAACAAGGTGATTAGATGAAACGTGTCTACGGGGCCATTTTCCTGCACCTTGATAGAAAGAAGGAATAGTTCATTGTGCTTATTTTTAAATCACCGTCTAATGGAGCAGCAAGTCATTCCTGAAGCAGCTGCCTCTGGGTGGCTTGGAGGTGATAATTGATTCATTTGATTGGTCACAATAAACTTCTACCAAAACCCATTGTAGATGGGATCTATAAATGCGCACAGCAGTGTAAATCCGTGGCCAGATTTACAGCACCGGGGAAAAGACAGAGAGATGACTGGGTCGTCCCAGAGATCAGCGTGAGCTATGTCAATTCAACAGAGGACACATGGCTCCCGCAGTTCTCAGGACGCTACTGAAGAGAAGACAGGTTCTGCCCTGATTTTACAAAGCTGTAACTTCAGCGTTAATGTGCTTTGTCACAAATCACTATCCTACAAACCTTGAGAAGCTGGATTTCTGGGGAGAGAGTGTTCTGCCGCCCACATCCGCAGGAAGTGCTGGATAGCCACCAATCCCTTATGCACAATGAGCTGTGGAGGGAATTCCAGAGGGCAGTGCCTCAAGTTCAGGGCTTTCAGTGTAAGTACACTCCCTGTGGCGGAGGAAACAACTGTCAGCATTTATATACTGTTCTTGAAATGAAAATGAGGAACAAGTAATAGTAAATGTTTTCACATTTTAACAAATGATTCTATTCAGTATTTGGGGTAAACTGATATTAACAGATGTCAAAGATTTGCTTTAAAGGTAACTCTGCAGGAGACAGATGCCACAAATTAAGACCAGGACAATTACCAAAAAACAAATAAATCAAACAAACAGAAGCAGCCACAACAACCTTCACAATTCTGTAAAATTCAGAATACAAAGTCATGATACTATATTATCTAAAATGCTCATTTTCAACATAAAAACAATAAGACATGCAAAGAAAAGGAAAACGTGACCTACACTCAGGAGGTCAGCAGACAACAGAAACTGTCTTTGAGGAGGCCCTGATGTTGGGTTTAACAAAGACTTCAAAGTGGCCATTTAAATATGTTCAAGCAAATGAAGAAAATCGTGCTTAGAGAAAAATATAATATAGGACTCCACAAATGTGAAATATCACTAAAAATGGAAGTTATTTGAACACTTGGAGGCTGTGGAAACGCTGGCCACTGAGAGCTAAGACTCCTGTGGTGGGCAGTTGGCTGATGGGTGCTGGGTCCCTCAGCAGGCTCAGGGCAATGTCCTTAGAGTGAGGAGCGCTGGGGAAGCACTGCAGGGCCCAGTCCTGTGACATCTGCCAACTTGAGGGGCCCAGGGTTTGGTGTGAAAGACAGATGCTTAGATGTTGGGTATTCAGGCGTTCTGCCTTTCAGCTGCGCTTGCTTTTCAGGTAGGTGAGTTTTAGGCTCTAAAAACTGCAAATACTTTGTTGGCCCCGTCCATTAATGGGCTCTGCCCTGAGCTCAGTGGTCCAGCTGGAAAACGGAGACTAAACTAGAAGCTACCTATCTAAAATGATACTGGTTTCCTTACAAAATCCTGTGGCAAGTTCCTATGACTTTGTATTATCTTGTCATCCATTTTTAGTCTTCAAACGAACCTAAACTCCTTCTTTAAAAAGCTTAAATTGTCTTTCTGTGCTTTGAGATGTAAATTTGCTATTCTGTTTTCTCTGAAACTGTGTAAGGGTTCCAGCCATAACTCGTTCCATTTACCAAGGCACAATTTAACCCAAATGTTCTTTTGTTTTGTTTTGTTTTTGGAGAGAGGGTCTCACCCTGTCGTCCAGGTGGGAATGCAGTGGTGGAATCAGAGCTCACTGCAGCCTTGAAGTCCTGGGCTCAAGTTAGCCTCCTAAGTAAGTACCTAGGAACACAGGCATGCACTACTGCACCTGGCTAATTTCATTTTATTTTTTGTGGAGATGGGGTCTCACCATGTTGCCCAGACTGGTTTCAAACTCCTGCCCTCAAGGGATCCTCCTGCCTTGGTGCCCAAGGTGCTGGGATTACAGGCATGAGCCACTATGCGTGGTCTCAGCTGTTCTTTTAAACTAGTGAGTTTTACCTGATTCACGGCTAAAAATAAAATCAAAGCTATAAAATCTTAATGTATACATGTGTATCTATCTCTGTTTTTATACTGTCTACATGGTAGCAGCTGACCTATAAATTAATGAGTAACCATAAATTAGTTCTCCAAAATGCTTTTCACCTTCATAATAGAAATGCCTGCAGAATTTTAGACATTTTTGCCTGGGCTACTGGCAGACTAATTTATGCTGTTTCTGCTAGATATTTTAAAGGTCATAAAACTGTTGCTTCTGTGATATTCTACACCTGTTTGATTTGTCTGTGAGCGTACGCCTTTGGTTTTGAGTGTTTAGATTCTGGGGTCTAGACAAGTGGTCGTGACAAGGCCTGGGAACATATGCAAGTGGTAAAGCTTCCCAGGAAGGCCAGCGAGATGCAGTGGAGACAGCACGTGGGGCCTGCAGAGGTGTGTGCAGGGTCCTAGGTTTCCTTAGCTGGGAGCTGGCGTCAACGCCCCTCACTGTGACCGTGCTTCGCACGAGGCTCACATGTCACACCTCCATTGGAACAGTACAGGCTGTGTCAACAGCTCTTGAGAGCTACATTATCTTAGTCCTAGAGGTAGGAAGGATTTTAAAAATATTCAGCTTAGCCTCCTTTGTCATGCCTGATACTTCCATTATAGGGTCTGGTAAGTTCAAAAGATAGCATTTAAAAATCATCTTTTTATTGTTTTATCACTTACCCAGCTCCACAGGTAACATTTTGATAGGATTTCTTTCTAAAAGCAAAGTTTTCAAATGCCTTTAAAGCAAACAAACAAAAAAGTTTAAAAAGCAGGGAATTAAATTTCTTCATTTCATCAAGTTTCTTCGTTTTTCTTCTCTCTCAGGGGCAACTTCAATACAGGCACACTTCAGTTTACAAGAATGGGCACTCAGGCAGGCTGCTGCCGTCGGCAGGCACAGGTCTACGCCCTGCACCGCTGGGACGTGGGACCAGGCAGTCCGTAGGTGTGGCGGTGTCCCGTGCTTTGTGGGGTAGGGTTCCCCTCCCGCCTTTCTTCAGCAGTTGACCCACCCCCCGCGTGACAACCACAGATATCTCCAAACATTGCCAACAGTCTCCTGGGGGCAAAACCTCCCCCAGCTATGAACCGCTATTTTGGGCTTTCATACCTTCCAGTTATAACCTCACTGTAAACCATTCTTCCTAAAACGTGTTGTGAGGAATGCCCATGTTTTATGATGCTCTGTGAAAAAAGTTTTTTAAGGCCAAAGACATTTGAAAGACTTCCACTACGTGGCATATCCCGCCCTGCGTGGAGATGGATCATCGGTACACTGGGGACTCTGAGAAGCCTCCACGTACGAAACACGGCTACAGCAGCATTTCTGGAAGGCACCTGCTTTCATTTAACACCTAGTACCGTCCTCACAAAATGCAGCCCAAATATACCATGGATGCCTAGACAGACAGACAGGGAAGAATGTAAAAATTTACTAGTCAAATGATGGAAAAATCTACATTTTCTATTAAACTCTATCTTGTATCTTTTATTGTACTATGCTTCTTGGTTTTCACATTTTATTACTAACATTATGTTTTGAGACAAGGTCTCCACCCTGTTGCCCGGGCCAGAGTGCAGTGACAAAATCTTGGCTCACTGCAACCTCAGCCCCTGCCAGCAGCTGAGACTCAAGATGTGTGCCACCAGACCTAGATAATTTTTGTATTTTGTGTAGACACGGGGTCTTCCTATGTTGCCCAAGCTGGTTTTGAACTCCTGGGCTCAAGCAATCCTCCCACCTCACCTTCTCAAAGTGCTGAGAGTACAGGCATGAGCCACCACACTCAGCCCTCATTTAAATTAAGTTCAATTTTTTGATTGGAACCCCACAGGAAAATCAGATTACTTAAGGTTTAGACAATTTTCTTTCTACTTACTTTCTTGGATTTTCCTTATTTGAAGTTTTTTTCTTTTTTTGAGACAGAGGCTTGCTCTGTCGCCCAGGCTGGATCTCCTGGCGCAATCTCGGCTCACTGAAACCTCCGCCCGCCAGGTTCAAGCAATTCTCCTGCCTCAGCCTCCCGAGTAGCTGGTGCATGCCACCATGCCTGGCTAATTTTTATTTTTACTTTTAGTAGAGATGGGGTTTCACCATGCCGGCCAGGCTGGTCTCAAACTCCTGACCTCATGGTCCGCCCACCTTGGCCTCCCAAAGTTCTGGGATCACAGGTGTGAGCCACGGCACCCGGCCATTATTTGAAGTATTTAAAGAATAAACTCTATGAAGTAAACTTTTCTTGAAGTGTGCAAAAGTGGGTTATCTCAATGTTGTTCGTTCAGCTCACTGTTTTTGGTTTACTCCCTCTGAATTTTGCTAACATAAAACCAGCCAACGAGAACAGTGCCTGCTCTCTGTAAGGCAAACAGAGGCCTCCAGGTGCTGAGGTGGACAGTGAGGGCAGCACATGCCCTCAGCTTCTCCAATGCAGCCCTTCCTCAAAGCAGAAAGGTTCTGGCCCATCTGTGTGCTGCTGGGTGGGGCTGGGTGGGGTTTTTGCCTGAGGGGGATTCCAGGGGGTGCATGTTTACTATTAACCTGAAAGTACAGAACGGATTTTTCTACCTTATGTAATAATATCATTAAAATATTCTGAGCACACTTAAAATTACAAATTTATAAATGTTAATTCCTTAAATGCTTACTGCCAGTAACCGAAAGCCTACCCATGGACTGTTTTGCTTCATTGATTTTGAAATGAACATATAAATGTGAATACTGAGTTGGACTTCTTTGCCTGAGGAGTAATGAACTGGTCCACGCTTCCCCGCTCTCCTCTCTACTACAAGCTCACACACCCAGGACACTGAGAAGGCGGCTCACTAACACTGCCACCCTTTTAACTATGTGTTTCTAGAGGTTCAGGGCTTTAATAAGCCCGTGATCACTTTGCCTTTCGGAGTAGTATGGCTTAGCTCTGCAGCTGATCTAATTTGAATATTAGCATAGGTCACAGGTCACAAATAAAAGTGTATCTTCAAAAACATTAGGCAGCTTTGACTGGCAAAATCAAAGAATTTCAAATTTTGAGAACTGTATACCTATTTTAGGGAAAAGAAGGGTAGTTATGGGAACAGGTCTTAGTTCATTTACACCCTCTGAGTAGCACTTACTCTCCAGAACTCTGTAAGGCTAAAACCATTTGTGGATAAAATAGCACTCAGTGATTGTAAACCCAGAAGATGATGATCTTGTGAAGAAGAAATCCTTCCCAAACGCTCTCAGCCACAGGCTCAGACACCTCCTGAGGCCGTGAGGAACAGGGTGGACACCTGCCCAGAGCGCCTGGCTCCCACGCAGCTCCCATCACACAAGCAGCTGGCAAGGCGTGGCAGATATACCAGCTGAGCTCCAGAATACGCTTCTCCTCGAGGTCCATTTGTGATCCACCCTGCAGACCCCAGAGTCCCTAGGAGCTCCATGGAGATGCACCCGGTGTGTCTCCACCTGCTTGAGACACCACTTATCACTGGATAAGCGGCTTGCTCACAGAGCCTGAAGACCACAGGATGAATGATGCATCCTTCTCTTCCATTACGTATAGCAAAATATGCTGACTTCTTATAAAACATTTTTAAAGCCAGTGAGTTCAAGGCAAGTGAAGCGCCTCCTGCAAGCCTCAATTCTGCAGACACACAGCAGCCACCGTGGCTCTTTGGAGACATAATTCCTCACGTAGGAACCGGGGGTACCCTGGACACCCTTCTTGTTCTTGTGGCCCCACATCCACCCGTGTCCCACAAGCTCTGGAGTCCCACTGAGGCCCTGCCATGGCCAGTCATGCCCAGGGTGCCCCTCCTGCATGAACTGCTGCCGTAGCCACGGCTGGTGTCCCGCCCCACCCGTGCCCTAGAGCCCCCTCCTCACAGAGCGACTATAAGCCAAGTCTGACACCAGCCCTCTCTACCCAAGCCCTTCTGTAAAATCCACAATGAGACCCTGGTCTCTGAGCCCCACTACCCCCTCTAGAGTCCTCCCCCACCACACAGGTCTCCCTGCCAGCCTGCACCTGCCAGGCACATGCCCACCTCAGGGCTGTGTCCAGACACACTCATTTCAGGGGAGGGGCTGTGGGTAACCCCCGACATGGGCACCAAGGAAGGAGAGCTGTGCAAACCCCGGGCAAAGTTAGTGCCTGAAGAATATCTTAGTTATAGTGTTATTACTCAGCTATTTCCTTTATGTAATCCTTTATATATAATCACATATTAGTTTATAGAATTAGTGCCTGAAGTATAACTTACTGCTTCCATATGTCTAGCTTATATAATCATACATAGTACTTATATCTAATGTACTTAGTTCCGTATAATCCTTCTATATAATCATACAGGTATTGTAGTCGGAGCTGTACTGACACATTCAGTGCTGATTTATAGAATCCTTCCATAGAACCACATAGTAGTTTGTAGTGGGAGGAATGCCTAGAGCAGTCACAGAACAGAAGCAGCACATGGGAAAATAGCCAGACCAGGACGAGAACCAAAGACCCAGGCGGTGGCGTCCCTGTCTGAAAGGGCAAACGCCGTATGGCAGGCTTGGAGCAGGAGCCTCTCCTCCTGAGAAAGGAGTTGTAGCACCTTGCATCCAGTTCCTGTGGAAAGTCGGCCTCAGGCCTGAGATCCCACAAATAACCGAGGGAGAAGAACCCCTCTGATGTGACCAGTCACGGCGGCTGTACACCCTGTCAGTCTTTTCCTGCTTCTGTGCTGGCTCAAATCATCCTCCCATAAATATCTTAGAGAAGAGCACACATCTGTCAGCTCCCACTGCACTGGCTTACAGTATCCTTCCATTAGAAATCCTTTGAAGTCTCCAGCCCCCAGATAAGAAGTGTCGTGCACACGACACCTGCTGCACACAGCCCGCCTCCTTGCCTCGGTGATCTAATGGGGGTGGACCCCTTTTCTGTACGCAGCCCCCTATTGCGCGTGGCCCACCTCTCTGCCCAGGTGACACAATGGGGCGGCCCCCTCGCTTGTTATGTGATTATATATGCCCCATCACTAAGCTTATAGATGATGATCTCACTCATGACTGTTCCCCCATTTGTACCTAATAAATACAGACGCTTCTGGGCATTGGAGCCTTGCCTGTCTCTGCTCATTGGTGACGTGCCCCTCCCCCCCGAGTCCAGCTGTTCTTTTCCAGTTCTTCTGTGTCCTGTCTCTTTATTTCTCGGATCCAGCGCCTCAGCACGGCATAAGGGACACCCCACGACCTTGTGGGGCCAGCAGCCACTGAAGCACTGATCAAAAGAGGTAAGGGCAGCCAGGCGCAGTGGCTCATGCCTATATCCCGGCACTCTGGGAGGCCGAGGCAGGCAATTCACTTGAGGTCAGGAGTTTGAGACCAGCCTGGCCAACATGGTGAAAACCCATTTCTACTAAAAGTATGTAAATTAGCCAGGCATGGTGGCGGGTGCCTGTCATCCCAGTTACTGGGAGGCCGAGGCAGGAGATTGCTTGAACCGGGAGGCGGATGTTGCAGTGAGCCAAGATTGCACCACTGCGCTCCAGCTCAAAAAAAAAAGGAAAAGAGGTAAGGGCGATGATGGTTTCAGAAGGTGAAAAAGCCATGGTGTCGGGGATGTGGGCACAGAAGCAGAGGGCTCAGGAAAGGAGGGTGTCTCCATAGTGAGAGTCCCGGCTGCTGGGGAAGGGCCAGGCGGAGGAGGGAAAGGAAGTGTGGCATTTCCGCCCTGGTCAGGATTACACCCCACACGTGGGAATGCCAGGAAACCCTGGGAAGGGAAACGTGGGAACAGGCAGGACACCCGGGGCTTGCTCGAGTGCTCCCAGTTTTCCAAAGTGAGAAGAATTTCTCATTATTTGCCAAGAACCAATTTACACGGGAGCCCTCAGGAGCAAAGGAGCTGGTTTATTATTATTATTTTTTGAGACGGGGTCTTACTCTGTAGCCCAGACTGGAGTGGAGTGGCATGATCTTGGCTCACTGCAACTTCCGTCCCTAGGTTCAAGCAATTCTCCTGCCTCAGCCTCCTGAGGAGCTGGGGTTATGGGCACCCGCCACCACGTCCAGGTAATTTTTATATTTTTAGTAGAGATGGGGTTTTGCCATGTTGACCAGGCTGATCCTGAACTACTGCCCTCAGGAGATCTGCCTACCTTGGCCTTCCAAAGCTCTGGGATTACACGTGTGAGCCACTGTGCCCAGCTAAAGGAGCTGGTTTAACTCATCAGAGTTATTTCTGATTTTCAGGCAGCTTCACACAAGGAGAGTCAGAGCTGTGACAAAAACCACACCAGGCACCCAGCAAAATTCACTGTGGCTACAGCATTCGCCATGGCACCAAATATCCCATTACAGTTCTGTGCCTTGGCTACATTCAGCCGTCGCGGCTCCTAGCTGGCTTTACAAAGACTATGAAATGTTTCTATTCTGAGGTAAAAATGCAATCGAGAGCAGAGGACGAGGAGCAACAGAACAGGCACTCATGCACTTACAAGACGAGCTGCAAGCTCTGGAAACATGAACAAACAACTTACTTGTGAGACCCAATCCCAGAAGGAAGTGCCTTGATCCTGTTGTACCGGAGGTCCAGCCAAGTCAGGTTCGGTAGTAACTGAAAGAAATCTTGAGGAATCACACAGAGGGCATTCCTTTGCAGATGCAATTGCTTCCATGGAAAAGAGAGATCAGAGAATGTTTTGTCAACCAACTGATTTTAAAACATGATATATCCAAAAACCATTTCCAAAATAACTACCAACAACCAGAATCATATACACTAAGGTAAAAAGAGAAAAAAAAAAAACCCATCCCTTACCCTTAAAATATGAAAACAGTAGACAAAAGAATCAGAAAGAAAAGAACCAGGACTCCTGGCAGCCTTGGCAGCAGGACTGACTTCCTCAAGAGCTGGCACTCTGCTGTTGACTGAGCATGTCTCTGTTTCTGTCACAAGCCTCTGACACAGTCTGAAGCCCGAGGCCCCATATGCAGTTTCCCGGCCCTTTCTCCAGTGCCTACTGCAGCACCTGGCCCTCGGCAGCCCCCAACACTGCCTGCTTACCGAGCAAACAGCGAGGGCCACGTCTGCTCTGGGGGACTCAGCCCAACTCAATCATGAAGAGGAAATGCAAAGGCAGGGGCAGAGATACCTGCTATGGTGTTGTCCAAAATCAATAGCACACAAAAACAACCTCGGCAAGCATCACTTCAGGAGCAGACTGATACAACAACTCAGTGACCTTCTAAAGTCTTTATAAATAAAGGACGGCAGAAAATGAAGTGTAAACACCCTGATTTTAGCTGTGTAAAACGCATGTAACATACATATAATTTTATAGTCACGGTGTGGCAGGATAATAGCTCATTTTTACAATACTGTCATTAATGTTGCTGTGTTATCTATACTCACATTATTATGTGTATTTACATCTATATCCATATGTACTGAGGCAGTAGAAACAGATGTTCAGAACACGGATCTCAAAGCCAGACTGCGTGGATTCACATCTAGGTTTCCAAACCTATTGGCTATGTGACCCTCAGCGAGTTCTTGAACCTCTCTGTGCTCCAGCGTCCTCATCTGTGAGATATGGCAATGTGACCCACCTTATAGGGCAGCACCAACAGCAGCGCGTGGACTGGCCGTGGTGATCACACTAGAGAGCAGCATGTGGACCAGCCGTGGCGATCACACTAGCGAGCAGCGCGTGGACCGGCCGTGGCGATCACACTAGAGCAGCGCGTG